CCCAGGCGGGTGTCGAACCCGCGGGCTCAGGCAATCCACTCACCTCAGCCTCCCAAGGCGTGGGATTACAGTTTGAGCCACCGAGCCCGGCTGTTTCATAACTTTTTAAATGTGCTGTTTATCGTATGCTTACTATAGGTTGGGTACTTTAAGAATGTTAAGTGGGGCACATGCCTGTAATCCCAGCACTTTGGGAGGCAGAGGTGAGAGGATTGCCTGAGGCTAGGGATGCAAGACAGCCTGGGTATCTTGGTGAGACTTTGTTTCTACAATAAATCAAAAAAATTAGCTGGGTACGGTGACACTTGCCTGTGGTTCCAGCTACTTGGAAGGCTGAGGCGAAGATCACCTGAGTCTCGCAGGTCAAGGTTGTGGTGGCCATGAGAGTGCCACTGCACTCCAGCCTGGGTGACAGAGTGCGACTCCAATTAAAAAAAAAAAAAAAAGAATGTTATTGCTTATCCCTACAATTACCCTGCAATATGAGAGCTATTTTTCCTTTTATACAGGTTAGGAAGCAGACCTGGAAAGCTTAAGTAGCTTGTCTAAGGGTATCTACCTTTAATTTACTGTCTAAGTAAACTGTATTTTCTGATCTTAAAAAGAAAATGAAGAGAGATGAGGTTCCTGCCCTTGCAGTTAGACTGTAAATCAATAAACAAATTTAATTACACATCATGATAGTGTCATGTAGAAATCCAATAGGCAGTGAGACTGTGTGTGACTGGGGAGGACTTCTATAGCAGGTGACACTAAAAGTGAGATCTGAAGACTGAGAACAGCAGTAGAGGCAGAAGGCAGGGGAGCAAGTGCAGAGACCGGAGGCAGGAGGGGGCTGGTGTGCGTGAAGCTTTGGAAGGTCACCATGGCTTGAAGCTGTGAGGGAGAAAGGTAACTTGACATGAATTGGACACGTGGCAGGGTCTTTTAAACATGTAAGGAGTGGGGATGTTTATTCTAAAATGCAATGGGAGTTCATTAAAGAGCATTAAGTGTGTGTATTATGGGGAGGAGAGGAGTGGATGATGGCTTGTGTACAAATAATTAGATAGAGGCAAGAATCAAAGCTGGGAAACTAGTTAGGAGGCTGTTCTTTTGCCCAAGAAGCCAATTTAGACTCTGGAAATTTGGTGCAACACAAAGTCCCTGCCCTTGTGGAGTTTCTATTCTAGTTAGGGGAAGATAGTTAACAAGTAAGCAAAGAACATCAGCTAGAATCAAGTGTTATGTATGAGATTAAGAAAGTGACATTAAGATGGGCATGGTGGCTTACATCTGTAACCCCAGCACTTTGGGAGGCAGAGGCAAGAGGATTGCCTGAGTCCAGGAGTTTGAGACCAGCCTAGGTAACTTGGTGAGACCTTGTTTCTACAATAAATAAATAATAAAAAAAAAATTAGCTGGGCATGGTGGCACACACCTGTAGTTCCAGCTGCTTGGAAGGCTGAGGCGGAAGGATTGCCTGAGTCCAGCAGGTCGAGACCGCAGTGGCTGTGAGCATGCCACTGCACTCTACCCTGGGTGGCAGAGTGAGACTCCTGCTCAAAAAAAAAAAGAAAAGAACAGACAGAGAGCAAGGAACCAGCAAAGAGGCTTCGCGGAGGAGGAAAGCTAAGAGTGCAGAGTTCTGGGAGCTAAGAGATTATCAGAAGGGAGAGTGTTTTGAAAAGGAGGGAAGAGTCACTTGTGTCCAACACTGCTGGGAGATTGAGTAAGATGAGGATAGAGAAATGTCAGTCAGATGTGGCCACTTTTATTCTTCAGTGACCTTGAGAAGAAGAGATTATTAGATGGAGTGGTGGGCCAGGCTAGACCTGAGAAGGTTGAAGAGTGAATTAGAGGTTAAGGAAATAGAGTCACATATTTGTAGAAATTTTTATTTAGAAAAGAGTTGAGAAAAGGAGCTCTACTGTGGAAAGGGGAGAATGTGGGGTCAAAATGTATTTTGGGGGAGTATTTTTTACAGATTACAAATATTCTTCTTGATGCTTTAAAAAAATCTTGCATATTTTAATTGAAATGCAACAAAAAAAGCATGCAAATTATAAATATTCAGTTTGATGAATTATATAAAGTCAACATGTCTGTAAAATCACTCAGATTAAGAAATAGAATGATTCCAGAAGCCTCTTGCGCTGCCTTCCACCTACTGTCCTACCCCCAGGATAACCACTGTCCTTATTTTGAACACCATAGGTAGTGTGCCTGCTTTTGAATTTATGTAAATGGAATTTTATATAAATGTATTTTGCCTGCTTCTTTCCTTCAACGTTGTGAAATTCATTTGTACTGTTGTGTGTATCCGTAGTTTATTCTCTTTGCTGTAAGAACATACCATACTTTACTTCTTCATTCTATTGTTGATGGACACTAGGGTTGTTTCCAACTTGGAGCTATTACAATAGTACTATTACAATCTTCTTGTATTGTATAGTAGTATTACAGTATTCTTGTATACTTGTTTTGGTTAATGTATTTCTGTTGGGTATATACTAGGACGTGGAATTGTAAAGCCTTGGAAATGTGTGTGGGGGCTGGGTGTGGTAGTTTATACCTGTAATCCCAGCACTTTGGGATGCTGAGGTGGAAGGATCACTTGAGCCCAGGATTTCAAGACCAGTTTGGGCAACATAGTAAGACCTTGTCTCTACAAAAAATAAAAAAAATTAGCTGGACGTGGTGGCGCATGCCTATATTCCCAGGTACTCAGGAGGCTAAGGCCAAAGGATCCCCTGAACCCAGGTCATCAAGGCTGCAGTGAGCTGTGATTGTGCCGCTGCCCTCCAGTCTGGGCGACAGAGTGAGACTCCAACTCAAAAAATTATATATGTATATGTGTACACCTATACACACACACACTCCAAATTGGCTGTACTAATTTACACTTCCACCAGCAATGTTAGAGCTTTAATTGTTCTATATCCTTAATAACACTTGCTAGTATCTATTTTCCATTTTAGCCATTCTAGTGATGTTGGTGGTAACACATTGTGGTTGTAATTTGTACTTCCCTATGGTAAGGAAAAGTTTTAAAACCTGGGAGATGCTGGAGCATGCCTGTATGCTCTTAGGAAAGTTTCCGTAGAGATGGAGAGCAGAAGCTTAGAGGGGATGGGCCACAGACTGGGCAGATAGATTCTTTTGTTAAATCAGGAATACTTCTCAAGAGCATAGCCTTCAAGGTCTAAATGGTCTAGATTCAAATCTTGGTTTTCCTCTAGCTGTGACCTTGGACAAGTTACTTAACTTCTCTGAACCTTGGTTTTCTCACCCGAAAATGGGCAAAACTAATCTACTTTGCCAGAATTGTGAGGGTCACGTGAGATAACACTAGGTAGAGTATTTAGCTCAGTGCCTGGCAAATAAGAGGCCATTCTCTCTTTCAGTAGAGAATGGCTACTTTCTTCTTTACTTATCAAACTATGTAATTCCTTATCAGTTATTTCAGAAAAGCTTAGCTTAAGCCATATTGATAGACTTTCCACAGCATTTTCTTTCAAACCATCGCAATTGTACTTTAATTGCTTTTTAAGGATAATATACAAGATGGAGCCAAGTCCATTCTGTATTAATGATATGGGATGTGGGATACTTTGCTTTCTGCACTTACAACATAGACACTTTTAACCACTGCAGGAATACATTAAGTGACAACAGGTGTGCCACCCTCAGTAAACTAGAAGTGATTCAGAAAGGCTTGCCATCCAGCCGTTTTCTGATTTCCCATGTCATAAAGGTACTTCTTTGAGGTTTGGGGCATTCTACTTAGATATTTTTTTTTTTGAGTTGGAGTCTCACTCAGTCGCCCAGAGTGGAGTGCAGTGACCGCTCCCGGCTACCGCAGCCTCGCCTGCTGGGCCCCGGCGATCCTTCTGCCTCAGCCTTCCGAGTAGCCAGAATTACAGGCATGCGTTACCATGCCCGGCTGATTTTTTTGATTTTATTGTACAGATGAGGTCTCGCTGCCCAGGCAGGTCTCGAACCCGCGGGCTCAGGCAATCCACTCACCTCAGCCTCCCAAAGGCGCGGGATTACAGGCTGAGCCACTGAGCCCGGCTTACTTAGATATTTTTTAAAGGACTTTTGTAAGTGTTATACAGTGGGCTGGCTCATCATAAGCATATTCTAGGATGTAGCTGTCTGTGCATCTGTGTGAAGCCTATCGTTGCAGAACTACCTCATTATATAGAGCAGTTGATTAAAATCAGAACAGATTGGAGGAGAACCTTGGGGACTTTACCACCTCAGTTTTTGGTAGTTAACGGGGTGGTTTTAGAGTTACATTGCAAACCAGCATGGCCCTTTTACTCTTTTTTTCCCTTCATAGGAAAGGCCATGACAACCACTGATCTACTTTAAATTGTTTGCCTTGGGCAGGTGAACAAGCATAGAAGTGTTTTAAAATTACTTAGAAATCTATGACTTACTAGGTAGAAATTATATTATCTATGCTTTTGCCTCTATATCCAGCCCACCTGGAATAGGTAATTTATCTTACCCTGCTATTAACACTGCTTCCTGTTCAGCAGGGCTGAGTCTTCCAAGAAATACCAGCATACCTGTC